ACGGATCGTTTTACTGTTACTTCCACCGCCGCCTCTGGAGCAGCCTTTGGAAAATCAGGGAGAACCGGCTCGCCCCGTCCCGCCGTGCCTCTTCCTTCGTCATCGCGCGCGGGATTCTTTCGGGGCCGGCCGGGAAACGCGAACTTTCCAGCCGCTCTCGCTCTAGAAGAAGTGGGCGCGCCGCTCAGTTCCTTATCGCGCGAGTTCCTTATACCTCTTCAGCCTCGCGAAAAAGTCGCTTATCTCTCTCTCTCTCTCTCTCTCTCTTTTTCTTTCTTTCTCTCTCTCTTGCTGCCGCGTGACGACAAAAACGACCGTAAGTGCGTTACGACTAACTGAATCGCCCCGCTATCCATCGGACCGGCACGCACGGGTGTCCGTTGTTGCGTATCGCGATACGTCGGCCGACGTGCACGAGAGTGCCTCGGGTGTGCAGGTACGGGAACGTCGAGCCGGCGTTACGGCACGGCCGCAAATCAAATGAGACCAGCGTGGCGAGGAATTCATCCCTTACGCGGCCGCGCGATTGCGCAAAAGAATTCCGCGCGCGCGCGCGACCGTCGAGCGCGTGCGTGCCGTCGCCGGTTTTCCATCGGACGGAGAAAGTCCGGCGAGCGGAAGGGAATCGGGAGAAAGAGGAGAGAGGAGAGAGGAGAGAGGAGAGAGAGGAGAGAGAGAGAGAGAGAGAGAGAGAGAGAGAGAGAGGCGACGATGATGATAACGATGGTAAATAAAAAGCGACAACGAGAGAGACCGCACGGCTGAAGTCGACCCAAAAGTCATGTAGGCCACGCGTCGAGCGAAACGGTGGAAGAGGGCAAGTGCGAGGTGTTGTTTCTTTTGGGATATGGGAGAAGCGTCTGCACCCCGAGAGGTGGACTCGGCGGAGAGGAGTTCCGGTGCACCGTTTAAGGGAGACCAGATGAGGCTGATCCGAGGCACGCGTGGGCGTCGAACGAGATCCGTTGTGAGAGAGAGAGAGAGAGAGAGAGAGAGAGAGAGAGAGAGAGAGAGAGAGAGAGAGATGCTAGAGGAGGAGTCGTAAAATAAAAGAACTTTTCCTGTATTCCAAAAGGGACACTTCACGATTCCTGTTCCACTGTCTAAAGGAGACCGCTTAAAGGTGAAGACAGCTTAAAGGTCGCACGTGAGCCACGCGCTGAACAAAGCGCGCTGTGTGAGGGCAACGATGAAAAAGGAATCGCAAAATCGCCGCGCGTTTCAGAACGTACGGAATAGAATTATCCGTGTTCCGCGAGGAATATTTTGCGATTCCTGCTCCACTGTTTCAAACGGACCGTTCAAAGGTGAGAGTGGCCTAAAGGTCATGTGAACGACGCCGCGCTGCGAACGTTGCGCGGGGAACAACAGAGGAGGAGTCGCAAAATGCATCTTTTGGGGTGTAGAAGAGGTACTCATACCCTGAAAAGAAACCTGCGATTCCTTTGCTACTATCTTCCACGTGTCTTCCTTGAGTTAACCTCACCCAGTCTCCCTCTAATATGGTTCCCCTCAAGCCAAGCACGTCTCATCCAAGCGACGCACTACCGCAGACTCGATTGCGCGCGACCGACTTCGATCTTCGACGGGAGGAAGAAACGGACGCGACTCCTCGGCGAATGGCGGTTTCAGGAGGATCAAGGCGAGAAAGGAGGCTCACGATTTATATCTGTACTTTCGGGGAACAATGTCTCGCTACGCGGCTTTTCTTCTGCCCTCTTCCTTTTTTCCCCGCGCGACCACGCTCTCGATTTCTAACGTTCTCCCCGGGGCCGGCGAAAAAAGCCGACGGAGACACGGAGGTTTTTGCTCCCGGCGTACCCGCGACTGAGCTTTCCAATGGGATACGTTCATTGTCACTTGGTCGATCGTGCACTTTCCCTCCGCGTGAAACCTCGTGCGGCCGCACGAGGCAAGTCGCGAGTCGAATCCGCCGCGCGTCTCCTTCATCCTGTTTTCGTCGCCGCCGCCGTGTCGTTTCGAGAAGAGACGCGCGAGAAGAAGGGAAAACAAACACCTGCTTGCGGCGAGGGATCGCCGAGGTGAACATCTTGGGCGAAGAAGCACCCAGACGGAAAATCTGCATTCACTCGCGCCGCGGCGGCCGGCGATTACGATCTCCATGATTCAAGATTAAAGCAATTCCAGCGTAATTTTCTAAACCACGATATTTCCTCCGCACGCGCCTCGGATCCTTTCGATCGTCATAAAATCGTGTCGTTGCCGGCGAGATTACTAATATTATTGTTGCATCACTGTTATTAAAACACGCTTGATATACGATGAAATCGTGTAACCTAAATTGTACTTGTTGCGTCGCGTTCCTGGAAAGTTTGCCCCAGAAGGCGCCTAATAAGCGTCCGATCGATCAATCGATCAATCTCCTTTTCCCTCTGTCTCGCGCCACCGCGGTCTGTCAGAGCCGAGAGGCTCGTTAGAGGAGAGATCCTTGGCAACGTGTCTCTCTCTCCTATTTCGCAGGAGTGAATGTGAGAGAACCGCTTGCAGAACTAATGTCCGCAAGGCCAACCGCCGCCGATAAAAATGCCTCGGATAATGCGCGCGCGAGCGGCGCGCGCCTTCCTCCGCGCGCCCTGTCCGCTCGATCGAGATCGAGATCTCGATCGTCCCGGCTCGCTCGTTTCGCCGAACGACCGGCCCCTGGTCCAGGCCGAAATTCGCCGACGACGCATGCACGTGTCATCGACGAAAATATTCGACGAGGAGGTGTCCGTTGTTCTCAGAGGTACTCGAGTCCGTTGCCGAGTATCGGTCAGCGAGTCGGACAGGAATGCGAAATTCGCTTTACTTTTGACGCTGTCCGAGTCGAAATTCTCTGCTTTCTACCTCGATATTCATCCACTTGACGCTTGATACCTTGAAGTCCACATCGAGTTCTGTTGATCCTGTTTCGTTCGGAGCTCAATACCGCCCAAATCTAAGCGGCCGTCAAAACGGCCGAGCAGCTTCGCAATTTCTTCAGAAGAGACATTTATGACGCAGCGTCTTACGTCCTTGATTGACGTCGAACGAAACGAAAAATAATTAACAGTTGCATTATTTATGTTCTTCAAAAACCTTCGAAACCTGTCATTTTGACCGGCCTGGAATAGGCGGCCCGAGATGGATCGCTCCGGTGCAAGATCGCCGAGATTTTACCGCTCGTTTATCCCGTTTTCGGGCAAATTCATAAATATGCAAAGCACACGGGGCGGCCAATGCAAAATGGCGCGAGACGACGCATCGGTCTCGCGGAAATAACACGCGAGCGGACGGGCGATGGCTCGATGACTTTGCGCGCGCGATCTTTCGCCGCTCCAGCTCGACGACAACCGGAAGATCGGCGAGTGTGATTGGGCGAAATGCTACGGCGATAACGGCGCTTTTCGACGGCACGACCGGAGAAACGTAGGCAAGCAGGCTGGGTTGGATTGTCCGGATCGGCCGATACTGGATCGGGGCTATCGGACGCTTGCGGATGTTTGCGCAAAGTACACGCCACTGAGCGCCATAAGCCGCGCAGACCGTTACGTCTGCATTTATAACGCATAAAGCGCAAGTGATGCCTCCGATGCGTTTCCATAAATGCGCGCGCCAATCTGGCCGAGCCGATCTCGCGTCAATTAAAATGATCGCCGATAACATCTGCGGCCGTGCGCCGCGCGGCGTATCGCTCGAGTCTCCAATCTTGCACGATTCTTTTCCTTTCGTCCGTCTCTCTCTCTCTCTCTCTCTCTCTCTCTCTCTCTCTCTCTTTCTCTCTCTCTCTCTGACTTCCTTCCTTTTTCCTTTTCCCCTTTTGTTCTTTTCGCGAGAAGCCGCGAGCAGTGCAACTTTTTCGACCGATGAAATAGCAATGGTAAATGAGATAAAAAAATGGTAAAATTCTTGTCATTTTGGACGACGGGGAAGTACGGTCGAAATTATTGTAAGTTTACGTTAAAGACGTTGTGAAAAAGTACGTACGTTTGATTTTTTACTGTACGGTATTGCGATCGCTTGAATGTTTCACTTTCGGTATATTTGCTATCACGATAATAACCTACATCACGCGATACAGTCGAGCTTTAGAGAAGCAGAAATACAATTTCCACGCAATATTTCCTCCGAGCGTGGGCTCGGAGAGAAAAAGATTGACCGAATTAACATGATACACAACGTGATACGAGCGAAACACGTTTCGGTCGAAGGAAACAGCACTTCTCGTTCGCGCGAACGAAATTTAGTTCCAACAAGCGGAAATTCCGTTCCCTTCGAGCAGAAAGCGTTCGTTTATTGCGCCACGTTAGTTCGAACCAGTCTCCTTCTTCCGCGGTCGCAACTTGAAAATCAAGCTGAGCCCAAGTACATTTTGGCATCCGCCGTCGTCCGTACGTTGCGGAAAATTCATTTGCCGATCTCTCTCTCTCTCTCTCTCTCTCTCTCTCTCTTTCTCCCGTTCGCTACAACGTATGCATTTTAATCGCGGGCATCGAGAAAGAAAGAAAGAAGAAGAGAGAGAGAGAGAGAGAGAGAGAGAGAGAGAGAGAGAGAGAGAGAAAGGAGAGAGAAAAACTAGTTACGCGTCGGCTCGTTTCTGCCGAGCCTAACGTTACACAAGTCGCGTGTGCGGGTAGATGTCCTGTTAATGGAAAACGCCGCATTATCTGCCGCGAGGCGAACGCGGAAGAACAGGTGTTACAAAAGAAATTATCACGCGCGCGGGAGTTGTTTCCGCGTCGAGGGAGATTCGCCAGCCGTCTAGCCGTCGTCGGTCTTTAGTCACACGTCAACGGCTGTGACGAACGAATTGACACGGCCGACTGTATCGAGTATCCCGTGTGAGACCTGTGAATTTGTGCTGTGATCGATTTCGCGGCGGCGCGCGCGTGCCGAAGGAAGAAGACACAGCTCCGTCATTCGCGAAGGAGGATGGCGAAACGGCAAACTTCGCGGTTTCTCCTCGCTCGTGACACACCGCGAGGTCGTCCTCTAAGCCGAGCGTGAAATGCAAAACTCACCCTCCGACCGCGTCTGAGCCGCAATCGTCAGCAGGAGCGTCACTAGCAGAAGTAATTTCGTAAACCAAAGCCTCCACATGTCGCCGCCCATCTGCTCTCGAGCCCGATGACAGCACTTTGAGAAACTGGCCCGGAGTTCTGCGAGTTCTCGGAGACGCGCACTCTCACGTAAACCAATTCCGCGCGCACCGCTGCTACTTGCGCCCGTTACATGAGCACCAAAACGATCCCAGGGCGCCGGCTTCCGGACTCGGCCACCTCTCGACGATCCTCCGACCTCCTGGTGCACGAGACGTTATCGCCGTCGCGGGCGTGCGCGCGCGCGCTCGCGGGAGGAAGAAGGAGACGAGACGAGAGTGGAGAAGACGGCGATGGGAAAAACGGAAGAAGAAGAAGAAGAAGAAGAAGGAGAAGAAGAAGAAGAAGAAGAAGAAGAAGAAGAAGAAGAAGAAGAAGAAGAAGAAGAAGAAGAAGACGAAGAGAGACGGCCGACCGGCTGATAAGCGCTGTCCGCTCGCGACACGATAAAGTGGAAATTACACCTGGTTATCGGACGGCGGTTACGAGAGCTCGTCCGTGCGCGGAGCGACCGACCGATTGACCTTTCTCCGGGTGCGAAACTTTGTCTGTGTCCCGGTGAGGACTGAAGGGGAACCAAGGCCCGCCGCCGGGTGTTGGGGAACCGGAGAAAGGTGTATCAAGAGAGCGAGAGAGAGAGAGAGAGAGAGAGAGAGAGAGAGAGAGAGAGAGAGAGGGACAGAGAGAGAGAGAGAGAGAGAGAGAGAGAGAGAGAGAGAGAGAGGGGAGAGAAAGAGAGAGACCAGAGGCGAGAAGCGGGTAGGACCCCTCTACGTCGTTCTCTCCCTACCCGCCCGACTCCTTTCCCGCTTCTTCTTCTTCGTCGTCGTTGTCGTCGCCGCCGCCGTCTCCGGGCGCACGGCGCTCGGTTGGTCGGCCGAGCACCGGGACACGCGCGCAGCTGACGACCGGCATCGGGGAGGCTCGACGCGCGCGCAGCCGTCTCGCCGTTGCGAGAGACCCGCTCGAGTCGCTTTAACTCGCTTGTCTGCCGCCAACACTTCCGCGGGCCTGTCTCGCGGGAGAGAGAGACTTGCTCTTGCCCGGCGACATAACATGATAACCCGTGACAGCGAGGTCGGCCGAGGGCCAGATGAGGAACGGACGTCGACGTGCGTGTGAAATCCATGAAAGCGGCGCACAATGGCAACGCGAGCCTGCCGAGCACCGTCGGCACCGGGTCAAGGTGGATGTAGGTCCGGTCCACATCTTTCTTCTTCTTCTTCTTCTTCTTCTTCGCCTTCTAGGGATCGGATGCCGCGGCCTGCGCCCGTTAACCGTCGCATTCGGCGGATGCAGCGCGAGCTGGGAGACCCGTCTCGCCTCGGGTCGGCGGACCAGGTCATGCGGATTGACGAGCGAGCGAGTCGTCGGACGGTGGTCTCATTGTCGTTCAAAGGACGAAGATCCGCGAAAGCTCCGGCCAGCTCACGGCTACGAAAGAATCCCGCGAGATCGATCAGTCAAGACCAGTCGGACCTCGGTGTGAACTTATCCCAGCTACGCCATGTGATGTGGCACGTTATTCGACGAAGATGTTCCCTGTATGCGGATTTCAGGACGCATCCATCTCGTCCAACGGGAGGATCCTGCCTGAATGAGAGGAGAGGAACTTCTCCCAAGAAGCTTCTCTGGGCAAGCGACGCGGATACACGCGTCGGGATTTAGTAGAGGAATGGCTGCGTTCAGCAGAACAAAGTGATCAGTGAGCGCTTAGTGATTATTGTTTGTGACTGGAGCATTCTTTTAGATTCTTCATAGACCCAGAAGTATTTATCAATCAGGAGCGAGAATCACTAAGCGTTCACTGATCATTTTGTTCTTCTGAACGCAGCCAATATCGGACAATCCATCCGATTGTCCAGCCGCGATCGCGATCAGAAATCGCCGGTCCTTCTTGCCAGCCGCGAGGAGACGAGGGGTGTCCTTGAGTCACTCCCGAATGGGAGATCTACATATTCATGGGTAGTGTCCTACTGAAAAAATGTGACACTAGAGGCATCGCTTGCCCGCGCACGCAGGCCACGCTTGTTGCACGGTATGCGGGACACCTGTTATCGTGCTCTCAATGAACTCCGCCGGAGGTTGGTGGGGCTAAGCGGAGGGGGAGAAGTACTGTTCCCGAAGCCGCGAGCGCGGCGAGGTAGGAGGCAGCTCGCGCATTATAGGTGTCGACCCGAGGACCTACATTCGCCGGCACGGTGTGAGGGATGCCGCGCGATCACGGAGAGGACGTGTACTCTCCTCTCTCGTTCCCCTCTCTCCCTCCCTCCCTCCCTCCCTCCCGCCCTGCGCCCTCGTCGCGTCTCTTTCTCTCCGGGTCGAGAGAAGGCTCTCCGCGTCTTCCGAAGTATTCGTGTCGGCGTTGGCCGACTGACTTAGCCGAGTGATTTTCGAATTCCACACCGCCGAGATTCCTCCGGAGAAATTATTGTTCGACACTTCCCCTCCCTTCCCCCTCTCTCTCTCTCTCTCTCTCTCTCTTTTTCTGGTCCTATGTATGTGAATGCGTCTTTGAAAAATCCTTTCCTGTAAACAACCACGTGCCGCGCCTGCGGCTCTCCGAGAAGCTGTGAATAATTCAGCGGCGCACACGCCGCTCGGCCGTCTCTCGATCCGTCGCGGAACAGGAATGTAATAATACTGCGAATTAATAAGAATCGTGAGCTCATCACGGGCGACGAGATACGCGCGAGACGGTGCGCCCGTCGACGGAGGGGATTCTCGCGCTACTGTGTGTAAAAGTGTGTGCAAAGTAATCCGCCGAAGTAATCATCATACGCAATCTCATCGAGTGACGAAACGAGAGAAACAATCGCGCGGTGACTTCTCCGTGTTCACATGGATCACGGCACACACACACAGAGAAAGAGAGAGAGAGAGAGAGAGAGAGACAGAGATGTTGCGATTAAAATTATAACAAAATTCATTCGCATTTTTCGGCCACTCGGCAAATCGGACCTCGGAAATTCCTACATGTTTTGTTTAAAGATATTACGCGACTTTTTACCGTACTGTAACACTGTTTTTACTCTTTACACAATAATATATAATATATAATATATTATATAATATTACGATATTATATATTATATATATATATATATAAAAAATATATATAATGTAGTAAAAAGTACAACGTTATTTAGTAGCAATATAAATTACTATAAAAGTAATAATTAACAAAAAGCAAAACAATACTATTTCTACAGTAACTCAGTTTTACGAAAAATGTAAAAAGGGATGCAATTTTAACGTAGTCTTCACTACTACACAACTAATATTTCTCCGTAGATATGCCCGACAGGCTCACCGTGACATTTCCTACAAAGAGAACCGCGCCGCAAAAGTCATTAACGATCGACGCATCGATCGCACGCGCATACCGACTTCCTTCCCGATTTCCCGGCCGGCAATGAGGGAAAAGTCGCCTCTCGTCGCGCTCGTAGCCGCCGACGCCGACAGCGAGATATTACATGGCGCCGCGCGGTGTAACCGCGGGAGCGTGTCCTCGTCGGACGCGGAACAATTCAATCCAGGCAATTACGCGTGATTGAAGAATCGAGGAAATCGCGGAGTGCGCGAAGAAGCACGGTCGTTTGTTGAACACACAAATCGACAACGACATAATCGACTTCCACTCGAGGAAGCCGAATTGCCAGTTCCGGCCGGACGCGCCGACGGCACGCGCAAGCAGCGGGGAATAATAGTGACGTTGGCTGAAGCGAAACGCGAGCGTTTCCTAAGCCGAGCATTTCCGATTCTCGCCCGGACAGGCCGAGAAAGTTGCACCGTCGATACCGCAAAAATTGCCGTTGCGAGCTGCACGGCCGTGCGGTTTGGAAAACGTAATCGTGCTCACGCTCGCAATGACAGGCGCGCTCTCTCACGCTCTATCCTTGTTACCGCGATCGGAAACATTCGACGGCTTATAAAATAGCTCGATAGAGCTAACCGAAAGCAATTGGCCGATCAGGAAGCTCCGATAGGAATTTTCCCGTTTCTACGATCGAGGTTTCATCTCTGACCGTCGCGGGTGACAGAAAATCAGTTACACGAATCGGGTACCTTTCTTCATGTCAGCTTTTATTCAGCCAATTGTTCCCGATTATTTCAATTGAGAGCTTTGACAGAGCCGAACGCGTTCGGTCGCATCAACGAAGATATTTCTTCTCGTCATTTTCGTCCGGTCCGCGTTCAGCCAACTTTCGCTCGTCGTTCGACCGAGTTCGGCTCGCCCGTTTCATCGTTCACCCCGCCGTCGTTCTCATTCAAAACGCGCCGTCAATTATCAAGGTACCAGTGCTCCCAATGGCATCGAGTTCCGCGGATGCCAGGGAGAATTGAAACGCAATTACGGGGCGTTATGGTGATTCCACCGTTAGGTCTCGCTATGCACCATCGGCCCCGCGCAGCGCCGGCTAATATTACGTTTACCGGCGTAAAACATCTGCTATTACCATCCACCGGCTATCGGCCAGCCTTGCATAATCTCAATACGGTTATGTATACTGTTAGTTCGCGCAGATGTTCACGAGCGAACACTACCCTTGACGGAGGGATCAAATTGCAAGTTCGCAAACACGGCGATAGCCGCGGGCGAATTAGCGGAAGCGATCTTTCAGCGGACGAACGTTCTCGAGTAGACAGCCCCGGGAGCCGCGGAGGCTTCCCTATATACGAACAACAGGGTGGCGTGATAAGAAACTAAGAAACGTGATGTGTGAAGAACTCTCCCAGTGTGAATTTGAAAAACCACCGTCAGTGGTATCCAGCCGAGTCGAAATTTTCGCGCTATTCTCGACCTCAACTATCCGACCTCCGTGGATCCTCCTGGAAGACCAATGCAGATTTTATTCAACGTACAAAAATGAAAGCCTTACTCTCTCAGCGCTCGCAAGCAGCGGAAAGCGCATAATTTGCCATTTATAGATTCTTACGGGGACCTCAGAGGCAAAAATTAAATATAATAGATTGATACAGACTTCACAGTTATTAATTAAATTACCGCATAATTTTTATATAAAACTTCAAGTTCCAATCGGCACTTTTTATTCGTCATTAATTTGCCATTTGTAGATTTCTAAAATGCTTCTTCGACAGAATTGTAAATTAAACACAAAAGAGATCGATACAGGATTTAGGATAATACATGGATTATTAAGATCGAAAGTAGAATCCAAATTTCTCGACTCGAGAATGGAGGTTTGATTTATATAGAAACGGACGTCTCCTGCTCAGCGCTTTTAAATTCCAGGAAACGTATGGCTGGCCACTTGTAGATTCTTAAGAGGAGTTCTAGTAACGGCATAGTTGCAGAGTAAACACAGTGAAAAGAGGCTTTAGAATATTAAACCAGCGCTAAATGGAATATCGAGGTCGAAAGCAGGGTATCGAATTTCGACTGGCGTACGGGAATTTTCAACGAGTAAAACCAACGCGATTTTACGCCTCGATGAAATATTAATTTCTAGTACCCTCCTTGCGCGGGATTATAACTTCATGTACAGTTAGGCCGATCACGGGGAAACGAAGATGGATTTATGTGTTCTCCAGTCATTAACCTCACGGTCGAGCGTCATTAGAAGGTATGATGAGATTGCGCGGGATGGAATTAGCTGAGCAATTTGAATTCGCATATCCACGTCACCACCGCGAATACGTGAATTCTAACATCAGGGTACCCGACGCGCACGTGTACGTGTGCAAGCGAGTATGAATCGTGCGAAAAGACAAGAAGATTCGTTCGCCACTACGTGACAGAAATAAATTTTACGAAGATTTCAGCAGAGATCTGCATGAGCGTTCGCACGACCGACAGCTTGGCCGATCCGCGGAGCGGATGAGCCATTTTATTCTCTTTTTGCGAGTCTCCGCGTGTTAATTAAGAATCGATCGTTCTTTATCGCGATGACGGGAGAGAGAGAGAGAGAGAGAGAAAGAGGAATCCATACCTGATAATTTGCGGGTCTCTCTCGCTAACTTTCACTCTTACTCACGTGATCATCGCCCTTCTCTCTTTCCGCCAGAATGATCCGCGGTTCTCCGGAGAAATTCTTCGCGGCTGCAATCGCCGCCTCTCGACGCAGCTGCGTAACTCGCAGGAAGTCCACGCCGTTAGCCGGATTCCCGTGACTTATCGATTAGTGCGTTTTACAAGGCAGCAATAGCAGCAGAGAACATTTTCGCGAGAACAATTTCTCTCCCCTTCCCCCTCTCCTCTCAGCATCTTCCGAGATCTCGAATGCTTCTAACGTAGCGGCGCGCGTATAGTAATTATTTAATCACTTTACGCTTGGCTGAGTTTACACGTACATCAAGTATCATCGCGTGATACTTTGCGATGGTATTCTCGTGGATCATTTTTATTTTCATCCATATACAATAAATAATTGTCCATCATTAATATATGCAAGCCAGGTTGGAGCGCACCAGGTCAAGCCGGATTTAATTTTTTTGAATTTTTCGAATCTTAATAACGGATGATGAAGGGTGATGAATGGTTGATAGAGAGATATCGAGGTACAATTTATTCTACTTCCATCGGACAATCATTTAATGTAGTATTTTCGGTTAGGGTGTTGTTTGTTGGTTCTTTATTCTCTATACTACTACTGCCCTTAAGTTTGCTGTCTTTTGAACTCTGTGAGCGAGTGCAAGACTTTGTACAGTTAATAGATTTATTCATCGCTACCTTTGATTGTCTTTCTACTTTCTGCAACATGTCTTTTAAATGCATCTTCCCAAATCTTCGAAACTTGAAATTAGGTAGGAGTCTTAATTCGCCGCTCCATGTCCTCAACATTTCATATTGTACTGGATTTAAAATATCAGGAATCTCTGCAACAAAGTAACATCAATCAAATCACACATTACCATCCAACATCCACAGTCTGAGGGCAGAATTTTATCCAGATGAAGATATAAGTACCAATCCCACAAGTATCAAACTCTTCTTGCTCCCTTTTTTTGGTCATCCTTATTATATCTTCTCTATTAGCGTGTTGTCTACCTCTTTTTCCTCCTACAGAGTGCTTAATAGCAATTTGTTCTAGTTCCTCGTCATTTCTTCCAATATATCTTCACATAAAAGTTAACAAGTATAAACATATAAATAAAGACTCTGTTGAATCCAGAAAATCACTGTCTATTTTAAAGGTTCTCACAATACTTGAGCGATAAAACTTACTTTAAAAGTAATTCTGCTGTGAGTTCAGCAGTATACGGACATACATCAGGAACAATATTCTGTTGAATCCACATTATTTTCTCCCCTATCAAATTTTGTTTTATTGTACCAGCCATTTTAATTTTTTGTCTATTTAACATTCTGAAGAGCAAAATATATATTTAGCTTATGCAACACTTTATTTTAAGACAGCTGGACTGAATTATATCCAGTATAAATGTAAAGTTTATCCAGCATAAATATAAATGTTTATTACTTACTTTTTGCTCTTTTTTGCAATTGCAGTGATTTTTCGACTATTTGGATGTAAAATTTTCTTCGCCTTTGCAATTTCCTTTTGCATTGTTGTAGACTGAAAGCATAATGAAAATAAGACAGTAATAAAATATTAACAACTCATTAAACTTTTTATACCATCCGTTATGTAATATATGTTTCTTTACCATGTTTGATGCATCGATTATGCCTGTCCTTTTAATTATAACAACTTATAGAAGAAATAATTCACTGTTGATAATTCTATATAAACTCTCATAGGTTAAATCATAAAACACACACACACATCATGTGCTCGTATTTCTTTACGTTTACCACCGACGAGATACTATAAAGACTGCTGGTCTTACGGGATTTACGCGTACCAGAGAAATCTCGCTGTGCACTAGCGCCCTCTAAGGAATATCGTGGCCGGAATATGAAACATAACTCGAATAAGCACAGATGGTAACAGATATGAAGTAGCGAATAAAAGGTATCGGAAAGTATCCAAAGAGGCCGAATATTGAAAACAGGCCGAAAATGTATGTGTATTTATTTATTCATGTTTGCAAATGTATACGGTAAAGTGCCATATTAATCGGTGCTCAACCTGTTTTCTACATTCTTGTGTGCATTTTATCGAATGATATTGCAGATAAAAGAAATTAAAAAAAATAATAAATAATAATTGATAAATAATTAATACAACTTAATAAATCTTTATAATCTTATTATTTAATAAAATCAGCATAAAAGAGTACGGAAAAGTTTCGGTGTATTTTGGTTCTATATATATACATATATACATATATATATAATACATATACACACATATATACACTGCTTAAAAAAATTATAGCATAGATAATTTATTGCCGAAAATTGGTCAACTTTTACTGGCGGATTACTTCGCGAAGAATTATTGTAGACTAAAAACTTTTGTTTCAAAATGAAACTTGAAGTCTCTACTTTAAGAGAATGTATCTCCATTTTTTGCATGCGATGCAACCCTACTCCTGTAACTCCTGACATCTGAGGGCATGTTTGATATACTGAAAATTGCAAAGTTTGACGGAATGCACGAACGTGGACAATTTTTTTCGGGGACGCCGTTTGCATCGTCATAAAGTTCCAATCTTCCTCTTCAATTTGAAAAAAATGGAGTCGCTACAATTTTTTTTCACAAAGTTACAGCTCTTCAAAAATATCGTTGTTTTTGACCTTCGGACCAAGTACCGGCGGATTAAATAACTGGAAACCATAGTGGAACAACGGAAAAAGTGATTGTTGACATACGCACGCAAGCACGTATGCATGTTTTTCAGCTCCTGGCTCCTGTTTTGACCACAGCCAACATTCCTAGCATCGGCAAACAAACTCTCTCCGTATTCTCCACGACTTCGTATGATTTTTGAAGGGCTGTAACTTTGCGAAAAAATTGTAGCAACTTCATTTTTTTTTCAAATTGAAGGGAAAGATTTGAACTTTATGACGATGCAAACGGTGTCCCCGAAAAAGAATTGTCCATGTCCGTGCATTCCGTCAAACTTTGCAATTTTCAGTATACTAAACATTCCCTCAGATGTCAGGGGTTACAGGGGTTACAGGAGTAGGAGTGCATTGCATGCAAAAAATTGAGATACATTCTTAAAATAGAGACTTCAAGCTTCATTATGAAAAAAAAAATCATTAGTCTACAATAATTTTTCGCGACGTAATCGCTAATCAAAGTTGGCCAATTTTCGGCAATAAATTATCTATGCCATAATTCTTTCGAGCAGTAGTATATAAACTAGGCATATGCATTGATAATATAAGAATAGTATTCTGAATGAATGATTGTATCTCAGTTAACTAGTGCGTAACAGTTACGTAACTTAAGCATATAAAAAAATAATGTTATATTTTACAGTTATGATGACAAGATGTGTATGTATATGTGTGTGTAGCATTATGAGATTTAAGAAAATTTGGAATAAATTTTATTATAAATATACATACACTGGCATTCCTTGAGTTATTAATTCGAAGTTGAAATAATACTGAAATTGCAATTGAAAACACATACAAAGTGTCTTATAATTCGTCCCAAAAAATTCGTGGAGACATTAAGCGAATTAAGATAAATAAAATAAAACATAAATACTATATATCATTCTGCGATATTCGCAATAATTATCGTTATTAATTACAGAAATCTAACGAAAGAGTACGCTGAGATGATATCCTTCTTTCCTTTCCTTCCTTCAATGTATGGCTCTGGACTTGTGGGAATAGGCCCCTACGCCATCCTTCTCGATAAAAGAAGTAAAAGGAAAACAGGAACAATGTGTACGTTGACCCTACGATCAAAATATATACGCAATTACAGGGACCACATCCAACCGCCGCGGAGGCGAACAAAAAGCCCGAGATGTATCGAAAAAGCATCGAAGCCACTCCAGCCAAAGAGCTTACTTGATCCAGCACAATAAGAGGAAGGTCAACGCGCTACTATTTGTGTTTTATCTCGCCGCTCCTACGTCTTGCCACACGTCGCCAACAGTTGCTGGATCGATTGAGCCATGCTGTGGCCAGAGCGGCTACGAAAAACCTCCATCCATCTCGGCACTCGTTTATTCGTAAGATATCTGTAATTAATAAACTGTTACGAAAATCGAAAAACGCTATGGAATATATATATGTATCTTAATCCAGTCTATATTTCCACGAGCTCTGTAAAAATTGTTTCGTGACACCTTATATACAGGATATCACATAACAACTGTTGCACAACTCGTGAAGAAATAGAGCGGGTAAAGACAAATGTAGTAATACATTATACTTTTATAATCAACATTGTCGCCACCGCCATCGCCGTCGTCGTCGCCGCCTCGTCGGCGGTAGAAAAAAGCCAAGCGACTGAAGAAAAGAAAAATTCTCATTAATCGCATCAAGTTGCAATTACGTGTTTCGAAATTACAATCCACGAAAGATGAAAAATTCATAGGCTTCAAAATGACCATGACACAATAATTATAGAAACATGAATGATAAAGTGTTAATTCAGACCCAAAATAAGATCCACACAAATTGCAACGACGTCCGTCTATTCTATATCGAGAAAATAAAACTAAAAAGTCACGACCGATAGATGCGAAAATAACGTGTCACCGGGTATAAGCTACAAAATTATTTGCTGTAAGACGTCAATCTAGGTTCGAAATAAGATTGATCCGTGCAAACCGCATCGAGCTGAGATCACGCGTTTCTAAAATATAAGCCACGAAAGATGGAAAAATGACAGGCATGGAAATGAAATATAAAATATGGAAATATGCATGATAAGGTTTTAATCTAGACCCGAAATAAGAAAGATCCTCGCAAATTATAGCAAGGTGCGCGTATTCGTTATCGTGAAATTAAAGCGGAAAGTTCAAGGCCGACCGGAGCGAAAATGACGTGTCACCGGGTATAAGCTACAAAATTATTTGCTGTAAGATGTCAATCTAGGTTCGATATAAGATTGATCCGTGCAAACCGCATCGAGCTGAGATCACGCGTTTCTAAGATATAAGCCACGAAAGATGGAAAAATGACAGGCATGGAAATGAAATATAAAATATGGAAATATGCATGATAAGGTTTTAATCTAGACCCGAAATAAGAAAGATCCTCGCAAATTATAGCAAGGTGCGCGTATTCGTTATCGTGAAATTAAAGCGGAAAGTTCAAGGCCGACCGGAGCGAAAATGACGTGTCACCGGGTATAAGCTACAAAATTATTTGCTGTAAGATGTCAATCTAGGTTCGATATAAGATTGATCCGTGCAAACCGCATCGAGCTGAGATCACGCGTTTCTAAGATATAAGCCACGAAAGATGGAAAAATGACAGGCATGGAAATGAAATATAAAATATGGAAATATGCATGATAAGGTTTTAATCTAGACCCGAAATAAGAAAGATCCTCGCAAATTATAGCAAGGTGCGCGTATTCGTTATCGTGAAATTAAAGCGGAAAGTTCAAGGCCGACCGGAGCGAAAATGACGTGTCACCGGGTATAAGCTACAAAATTATTTGCTGTAAGATGTCAATCTAGGTTCGATATAAGATTGATCCGTGCAAACCGCATCGAGCTGAGATCACGCGTTTCTAAGATATAAGCCACGAAAGATGGAAAAATGACAGGCATGGAAATGAAATATAAAATATGGAAATATGCATGATAAGGTTTTAATCTAGACCCGAAATAAGAAAGATCCTCGCAAATTATAGCAAGGTGCGCGTATTCGTTATCGTGAAATTAAAGCGGAAAGTTCAAGGCCGACCGGAGCGAAAATGACGTGTCACCGGGTATAAGCTACAAAATTATTTGCTGTAAGATGTCAATCTAGGTTCGATATAAGATTGATCCGTGCAAACCGCATCGAGCTGAGATCACGCGTTTCTAAGATATAAGCCACGAAAGATGGAAAAATGACAGGCATGGAAATGAAATATAAAATATGGAAATATGCATGATAAGGTTTTAATCTAGACCCGAAATAAGAAAGATCCTCGCAAATTATAGCAAGGTGCGCGTATTCGTTATCGTGAAATTAAAGCGGAAAGTTCAAGGCCGACCGGAGCGAAAATGACGTGTCACCGGGTATAAGCTACAAAATTATTTGCTGTAAGATGTCAATCTAGGTTCGATATAAGATTGATCCGTGCAAACCGCATCGAGCTGAGATCACGCGTTTCTAAGATATAAGCCACGAAAGATGGAAAAATGACAGGCATGGAAATGAAATATAAAATATGGAAATATGCATGATAAGGTTTTAATCTAGACCCGAAATAAGAAAGATCCTCGCAAATTATAGCAAGGTGCGCGTATTCGTTATCGTGAAATTAAAGCGGAAAGTTCAAGGCCGACCGGAGCGAAAATGACGTGTCACCGGGTATAAGCTACAAAATTATTTGCTGTAAGATGTCAATCTAGGTTCGATATAAGATTGATCCGTGCAAACCGCATCGAGCTGAGATCACGCGTTTCTAAGATATAAGCCACGAAAGATGGAAAAATGACAGGCATGGAAATGAAATATAAAATATGGAAATATGCATGATAAGGTTTTAATCTAGACCCGAAATAAGAAAGATCCTCGCAAATTATAGCAAGGTGCGCGTATTCGTTATCGTGAAATTAAAGCGGAAAGTTCAAGGCCGACCGGAGCGAAAATGACGTGTCACCGGGTATAAGCTACAAAATTATTTGCTGTAAGATGTCAATCTAGGTTCGATATAAGATTGATCCGTGCAAACCGCATCGAGCTGAGATCACGCGTTTCTAAGATATAAGCCACGAAAGATGGAAAAATGACAGGCATGGA